AGTATCAATGTCAATAAATTAAAAATGATATGTGTTTATGTCATCTCGTTATACTTATATGGTACTATAAAAATAGGTAGCTATTATGTTTAACTTATTATGTTTAAGTACTGAGTAGTGACTAGTGAACTAATAATAAATTTAAAAATCAATTGTAATTTCCATGTGAATATTACAAGTACATATATTATTTTAAAGTTTACTATTACTATATGTATATGAATTATATCTATTTGTCTTGATTATTAATTGGTACTGGTTAAAGAATTTAGATATAATTGTTTTGTTAATGAATAATTATGTGGTGTTATGGGGGACAACTGGTTTGACAATATTTTTTTGCAAACATATTATTGCTATATATTGTTATGATTATTAGTGTTATTACTTTTATAATTATATGGATTATTCCTCAAAAACATAAAATTTGTGTTACCTGAAGACTTTTAGATCAACTTAATGAATAATAATCAATTATCATTAGCATTTTCACATTATCCATAAGGAATAATACTTCTGATGATATTGTTTTTATATAATATACAAAAATAAACAATAAAGTCAGTAGAATGATTATTAATATAAAATAAACCATTCATTTAATAGTGACAAGCTTAATATTTTAATATAATGGCTTAAAATTTATGTTTTACAATTTTCTTTTTTTCAGAGATATTCATTTCTACTTGTGATTTATTCCAAATACCACATTTTAATTAATTATTTTTATTTGTTTGTTTCAGAGTATTGGTAAAATAATAGAAAGAGATTTCTTTCCAGATTTAGAAAAATGGAAAGCCCAAAAAGATTATTTAGATGCAGTTCAACAAAATGATACAAAGAAATTAAGAGAAATATATGAAAAGTATAGTTTAAGTAAACGATTGCTTATTGAACAACCTGGTAATTTTACAATTTATTAATTAATTTCAAAAATAAAAAAATGAAGATTTAGTGTCTTATTAAAGATTTAGAACTGAAAATCTGATTGATCCATTCAAAAAATATTTGTTAGATTGTTATTATCATGCCTAACTATATATTTTTTTTTTTTTAAATACTTTAACACAAAAAAAAAAAAAATTTAAACAATTTTGATTGTGTTATTTTAAATACATTCAAGAGATAAAAAATCAATTGCTTACTAATATTTTCCATATTTTTTGTATAACTTATTAACTACCAATAATATCAGTATTATTTATTATCATTTACCTGTAATATTAGTATACTATATTTTTTATTTTTGTTCACAGATGCAAGCCCAGATACATTTGAAACACCACAGCCAACCAAAGGGTCAATGAGTAATAGAACTGTTGATCCTACAGGTTTAGATGATGGAAAACCTGATGATTCTAAATCAAAAGACAATGGTTAGTAGATTAAAACATTTTTAAATAAATTTAATTGATACTTCTGAATTATCACGACTATCACAAAATCGAACTTTAGTTGCCAAGACTACATTACTCACACAGTTTATCATGATTATTATAATATCATAAATACAATAAGTACAGTTTTTGAGTTGAAAAGTGTCATCACAGAATTTAAGGCAAAACTAAATTTTTGGTTTAAACCCTATAACCTTTTGCTATATGAACATGAAAACAGAATTAAATAGAACACAATTTAAGATATTAATCATAATATAGAACACATTTTAATATTGTGGCAGTTGGGAATAATTTGTATTAGAATTGTTTAAAAATTAAAGAAGTTATACTAACCTAAAAAAACCATTTTAATCTAGTGACTATTAATTTTTGATCTATAACAAGTTCTAATAAAATGTTTTATATGTAGTCTATATACATAGTATTGTTTAATTCATTTTTCAGAAATTATTGGATTGGACAAATTTTTAAGCAATAATACAAGTGAAGATAATCATAGTTTTGATGAAATCATTAAAGAAGCTGAAATCCAATATAAAAAAAAGGTTTTGATTTATAAATATTTCTTATCAAATTAAATATATAATAACATTTTTATGATTTTTTTTTTTATTATTGTAGAATGCATGGTTATTTGAGGGCGAAAAAAAAGCATTAGAAATGGTTGATAAACTTGAAGTACCTTCAATAGAAAGTCAAGCGTCTAATACAGAGCGTGCATTTAATTTAGATTCATGGGCATTTAAAAACAAAAACTATATCATGTATATTCCTGATGGAGTAAAATTAACAAAAGAAGAACTTATCAATATGGCATCTAAAAGACAAAAAATTGACCATTCTAACACGAGACTCAAATTAAACCCATTTGACGAAAGACATAACAAACAACAACTGTGCAGTTTAGCACACATGCAGACAAGACAGTTAGATGGCAAAATTGGAGTTGATGGCAAAGAACTAACTTCTTCTACACCTAAAATTAATGGATATGGTTTTGTCAAAACTCCATCTCCTGCTCCTGGTGTTAATCAAAGCCCACTGATGACTTGGGGAGAAATTGAAGGTACTCCATTCCGTTTAGATGGTAGTGACACCCCACTGACTCCTCATAATTCTGGTCCTATTTTCAAAATACCTGAACAGCCTAAACGTGAAAGATTAGCACATGCACTTGCTGAAAAAGCTAGTGAAAGTCATAGAAATAAAAAAATTAAAGCATTGGAAACAGCCCGAAAACAGTTATCTACGTAAGAATATATTTATTTATTTTTTTTTGTACAATTATTTAAATTTAAATTTGTTTTCATTTTATAATTTCAGACCATCGCCATCTAACTTAATGAATAGTCCATTGGATCGATTAAATTCTATGTCACCAGCAGCTCAAAGACTTATATGTAACCGTATAAGTAGTGATAGAAGTAGAGATACTGCTTTAAGAGCATCCTATAGTCCGTCACCACGTACAACTCCATCTGGGTCACCATCAATTTCTGGATTAAAAGGCAACATTAAGAAATCTACACCTACCCATCAGAAAAAACCATACGAAGTACCTAAAAACCTTACTGATAATTTATTGAATATTAATGTTTCCAAACGTTCAAGAGCTGTAGATTTCTTTTAAAATTTCAATTACATAAGTCATGTTTGTATTTTATAATATATATTTAATTTTTATTTTGTAAAAAATTTGATACAGTTGTATTAAAGATTGTAACATTAGCTGCATCTTGTTCCACAATTGATATTGATATACTGAAATAAAAATTTTGTTAAACATTTTATTTTTTATAAATAATGATTTTAAATATTTATACTTCTTATTGGATAATTTCAAATTATCACAAATGTGTTTTACAAGTTTTTCAGCATGTCCAATATTTTGTTCAGGATTGATTATTCCAGAACCACCTACTATTTTTAATGTTCCTAAGACACATGGACTATCTAATCCATACCAATGTATCTTTTGATCAGTATTTATATGCACAACACAAAACTATAAATTAAAATAAGTAATAATTAATATCAAGTTATTAAACAATAATAATTATATGATTAACATTTTACATATTGTTTTGTATAAAAATTACCATGTACATATATGCTGTAAATTGACAATGTACATAAGTATGAACATTTAAAAGTACATTAAAATATTTATTTAAATATTTTATTATCTTACGTTTAATGGCGATTTAAATATATGTGCCATTAGTTCACATGTCTGGACTGCAAACTCTAATGGCACAGAAGTCATCGACAAGCTAGTATCAATTTGCAAAATTGGCATTTTAGTTTCGTGTTTGAAATAATAAAAAATGTATTTACAATTATCACAAGCTAGGTAGAATTACATTAGAATATATACTAATCCACTGTTATATTAAGTGGATGCGTTTTATTTTATGATTTTAATGCTTGTAAACAGATCACATAATAAAGTGGTGAGGTTATAAAAAAATTAAACTACTATATAGTTATGTTTTTGTGCATATCTATAGGTGAGACTGTACAAAGTACCTTCATTTATTTTTATTATAACATATAATTGTGTAACAAAATGTTTTTTTCTATATCTACACAATTACATAACAAATTTGAAAAAAGAAAAAAAAATGCTTCAACATATGAAATCAATACTATTCCTTATGCCTTGTAATGACTTAATACAAAGTGATACCTACAAGAAGGTTTGTAGGTATTTGTTATTTATTTTTTCATCAAAAAATTTTAAATATTTAATAGTTATGAAATAATTTTAGTGTTATCAAGTATCAACAGTCTACCTACTTGTAAGGTAGGTAGTTCATAAATACTATTGATTAAGAGTTAAGCAGACGCTACTTATATCCACATTTATTGTCTTCATCTTACAGTGCGTTGCATAGCAAATCTACACTCAGCAGTTCACGTTTAGCTCTGTTGGATTCAATATTAAAGTGAATCCTATCTTTTAAAAAACTTAAAGGTAAGAATTTAATCACAATGATATGTAGGATTTTTACGATAATTCTATTTGTGAGTGAGTTATGACTTTATGAGCATTTTTAAACAACACCATTTTATATACCTATACATATAACTCGAAAACAAATTGAATTATCGTGAAACATAACAGGTACATACAAACATAGTTAAAGTTCTTACCAATAGGTTTTATAATAAGTTGATTCATTTCACTCTGATATTAAAACTAATGAAACTAAATGTGAATAACTGCTGAGTGTAGATTAGGTTTAGCTTCGTTAGCTTAAAAATTAGAGTGAATCGACTTATAATGAAACTTGATGGTAAGAACATTTTCTGTGTTTATCTGTGGTTTTTTACGATTATTCAATTTTTTAAGTGAGTAATGAGCATTAATTTACTATATTTTACATAGGTATGCAAAACTCGCTAAAAAATTGAACTATCGTAAAAAACCCAAATACAAATACAGATGATCTTCTTACCATCAAGTTCCATTTTAAGTCAATTCATTCTAATTTTTAAACTAACGAAGCTAAACCTTATCTACTGAACGTAAATTTGCTATATGTAAGACAGAGACTGTGTAGCACCTCTTGAAATGTAGGAATTAACTAAAGTCTATCTTAAAAAAATAATAATAATGATAGTAGGTACCTACATAATAATTAATATAATATTAATTTCAATAATATTATTGATGGACAACAATTTAAATATAATATATTAAACGTTTAGATTGTTTGGAATGAAATTAACTGTCAATTGGAGATGAAGTTCGTTTAAACTTTAGAGTTTAGACGAATAAAAGTACCTAGTATATCTCATGAATTTGAACGTGAATTCAATTCATGTGTAATAAATAAAGCGCGGATTTTTATGCACTTAAAAGTATCGAAATATAGCATATAATATGCAGTAAAAATAATGAAAATATGCAGTCAAAATTATGAAAATATGCAAAAATATACAAGAATTTTTTATTTATTTAAAATTTACAATAAAACTTATAATAATTAATTACTTAAATACTTAATAATAAATAATTTAGGAAATTTTCTAAACTTAATTTATTTTTAAAATTGTATTTATTATTAAAATTAATAATCATATGCATTTCAAGTTTTTCTTCTGTGAAGTTGTATCATTTATCGATTAACATATTTTTAAAGACTGAGAACGAACGTTTGACGTCAACCGAAGTTATTGGGGCATATTTGAAGCAACTTAGTATTGTCGGATCTTGATAAAGATCTTCAAGATGAACGTTTTCACTTAATAACACTGAATTAATTTTTCGTAGAATTTTCAGACCTTCATTTTTATTGGAAAGCTCGTTTAATTTTGTTGTAAGTGTTACACCTTTCAATCCAGGAATAGAATGCATTTTTTCTTTCGTTTCGTCAATTATTGAAAAGCTTAGATATAAAATCATATTTCGAGTTTCCCGTTTTTTTTATGACTATTTTTATCACTAAAAATGCCAAATGAATAGATATAAATTTTAAATCATTCTACTTGACAAAATATTATCCTATACATTTTTTTAAATTTTCGCTTCAATATGCAATAAATTTTGAATTTTGTCAAAATATGCAAAAATATGCAATAACCTTCAAATATGCAGAAATATGCAAAAAAAAATTTCACCATTAGCTTCAAATTATGATAATTCGTGGAGATAACTGACAAAAATCCAAAAATATTAAAAGGAAAAAAATATGCAATGGCATAGAAATCCGCGCTCTAGTAATAAATTAGTAAATTACAGATATTTATTTCACGTGTAGAGATAGGTATTTAAAATATATATTATTTACTAAACGTATTAAATTATAACAAAATATTCTAAAAATAAATGTTTTATAGACAATAATATCATAAAAAGAGGCGTGACAGGTGCGGGGCAATGTATATGTACTATTGTGTTACGCACGCAACAGCGACGTGAAAATTTCTACGAACAGTACAAATTTATCAACTCGCCGGCTACAGTTTAATAATATTAGTTTATATTTTTATTTTTTACTTATGAAATTGTGTTTTCATTATTCAATTTGAATATCTTTTTAATTGTGCGTAAAATGTAAATAAATTTCATAATAGATAACTGTAAAAATTTTCCACATTCTAAAATATTAATTTACTGTGAAAATTCTGGTTCAAAATAAATAATTAATCATCGATCACCGCGTTATTATTTTTTTTTTTTTTTTGGTACCTATGCAATTCGGATGCACTGTTGGTGGAGACGTCAGTCGCCTTTAGTTCATTAGGATAAAATAAATCGTATTTATAATTTATATTTTATTTACATATACTAATATAACCAGTGGTGTAATTAGTAATTTGGCTTGGAGAGGATTACATTTTTAGTAAAAATTATATCATTTCTAAAAAAAAAAAATCTTAAACTCCATTTGTACACAATTATTTATAATATTTATTTATTTATTTAAATATTATAGTTGAATTACTATTAAATTATAAATATTGCAAAATATTATTGAAATAAGGCTCGGAGGGGGAGGGGTCAACTCTCCTCGCCCCCTTTAATTATGCCCTTAAATATAATATACAATAAATTAATTTATCATTATAAACTTAAGACCTGTGTATTTTTTGGACAAACGTTCAGGAAAAACTGCAATTAAAAGACATCATGCAGACCAGATAAAAGTTATTTTAAAATATTAATTAGGAGGAGATTGTAAGATTTTTGAACATAAAGAGGGATACGTAGAGTAAAAAAGTCTTAAGAAACATTGCTTTAGATGGTTAAAATATACCACTTTAAATGCTTACTCAGTGCTATTGCTGCATATAATATTTCAATTTATGAGGACGATTGACTATTTTGAGGTCACAATTCACAAAAAAAAATAAACAATGTATAGTAAGTATATAATTTTGGAATATTTTTAACTTTTTAAAATTTAAAATATCTAACATAAAGTGGCTAGCCTGGCTAGGTATTTAAAAATTAATTTGTCATACTATTAAATTACGAAAAATGTATCAGTTATCTCTATAATAATTGACAACAATTTGTATAGACTCAAAAAAAAAGTACACAGAATGAAAACAAATTATTTATTAGTATTAATATTATAACATAATAGATTAAAGTCAAAAAAAAAAAACAAAAATTTTATCGTCACATAATTATTGAATTTCTGATACCTAATCTATTGAATGATCTCTTCTAAAGTTGTGCCTTTAACTCCAATATTGCTTGGTTTTTGTTCCGAAAATGATAAATAACATCTACAACAAAATATAAATTTTTGTATTACTTAGTTTAAATATAATGTAGTTTATTGTAAACTAATGAAATTTTATGTTTTTAATACTTTTTTTTGAACATATTTTTTCTGTATCACATTTACTTATTGTGCCCTGAGGTACAAGTTATAAATTTCTTTTAAAAATTTAAAAATAATAAAAAAATATTAAATATATTGCTATAAATACTTATTTTAGTTAAAAACAGATATTATTTTTATTGATTATTGGTAATATATTGTTACAATTTTGCACGAGTTTAAATTATGAAACATACAGTGTTATATTCAAAAAAAAAACATACTTAAGAATAATTAAGAAATATATTATTTTAGGAATATAACCATATAGGATTAGATTAAATTAATCAGAATATTTATAACTGTAAATAATATTTATTATTTAGTCGGTAGCAGAGGTGTATTAATGATTTTAGCACCCTTTTTTTCCCCCCAAAAAAAATCGTCATAGAGGGGACTGATCAATTTTTACACATAGGTGGTTTACCAAAAAAAAAAAGGTCATCAGATAAAAAAAGCTTAGCCCAATAATATTTTATTTTTCTAGCGCAATGCCCCCTTTACAATTTAGCACCCAAGGGCCATTGCCTCACTTCGCCACCAATTCTAAAATTTCGCTAAGTTTGAGATTACAATTAAACCTATTGTTCAAGTCCTCATAGCGAAAAAACTTGTTCCCCTGTCGGTCTGTCGTATACTACGCGTGGTATGACGACTGATATCCTTTTTTTTGCTCTGAAGAACATGACGAAAGTCACCTCCTCGATCTCGTTTTCTAGCATTAACCATTTCAGAACCAAACTTATGACTTGGCGATGTTTCTTCGGCGGTATCTAATAAACCGTGCTTTCTTAAAAACGCAGTGGCATTCTCTTCACTTTTTGCGACAGTCAAATAAAAATCTTTTAATTGCATAATGCACACGATATATAAAACGGACACAAATATAATCGAAGTACAACACAATCGACGACTAATACCTACGTAACTAACAAACTTATTAAATTCGTTATAATATCGCATAGTAGTTGTAGGTAAGTTAGTTATATCAACAATTTTATTTTTAATAACAATAAACATAATAGTTGGAAAATACAAGATATGACATACCTATATCAAAATATTTTACTGGCTAATTTTATTATATATTTTAGTGGATGTACGTATATATTAAATAATTATTTTTTTCTACTATGATATGCGATTTACATTTATGATGGTAGACCGCATACATTTGTAGTCCTCGTATGAGAGCAGCACCAAATACGCCCCGGGTTAACAGATAATATTGATACCTGGACTCTATAGTCTGAAGATAATTTGATTTATTTTTAAATATTTATAATTTTATAATTTTGCATATTTTGTAACATTTTTCTTAGGCCTTAGCTTATAATTACAATATTGTGTTTATTAACAAAACAAAGAATTATTTAAATTTTAAATTATTATAACATTTTTTTTTTTTTGTTTTAAAAGATTATTATCAATATTAAAAATGTATTTAAAACTTATTTTTATTGAAGCAATTTAATGTAAACTATAATATCTAGTAAAAATATACGGGAGATAAAAATGTTTAGTATTCATCCTTGTCTTTTTTTAAATTGAATTATTATGACTTAGTTAATAAATTATTTTTATTAATAATGGTTATTTTATTAAAAAATAATAAAATAGGTAATTAATTATTAATCTAATTATAACACTATTGTAAACAGGAAATTAATTGATTTAATATTGAATTTACCTATTTGTAGGTACGCCAATGTGTTTTTCAATATAACCCTGTAATAAAGGAGCATATTTATTATTTTCATCGAGTCCCAATTTTAGAGTTCCGGCTATGCTTCCTAATGCACATGGTTCTTCATTTGGTACTTTTGTAGAAAACCAATTCATCTGTTGTCCTGCCTTGATTTTCACAGCAATGTACTAAAATAATTGAAAATTAAAATATGATCAATCAGTAATAAAATTATAGTTAAAATAATTTAATAATTGATATATATAGGTAATACATAGCCAATAGGTATAATAAATAATAACTACACTAATTTAATAATAATATAACGTATAATAGGTTATAGATTATGTATTTATATCTCAATAAACATTAAATACATTTATTTACAAAAAATATTTTTTTTAAATCAGTAATTAACATTTAGGCAAATTATATAAACGCATTATACATATATATATATATTTTTTCAAACTATAAGGATATTTAAATGTATTAGGAAAAATATTGACTTCAAAAGAGTACCAAGAATCATTAAAAGGAAAGAAATAATAGTACTTTCAAAAATATACTGTTAAGTATCGTAATTAACTATTCAAATTTCAAAATAAAGTTGAACAGTACCTTTAAAGAGATTAAAAAATAAGTATATAGGAATATTCAAAATTAAATATTGGTACACTCAAGTTTTATTTTATTTTTGTGCTGTGTTTGTACCTAGCTTGTAAAGTTGTACAAAATTGAATTATTTACAATTAAGGTTGTTAATGGGCAAAATATTTTAAATTAAATAAATGTTAACAATTAAGTGTGACAAAACAAGGTTAAATCTAGGAAAACAAAATCTAATTTGACCCTAAGTTTTAAATTTAGTTTTATAGAGAATAGGTATAAATTAAAAATAAAAATATCTTAAAAATGTTAACAATTAGAGCAAGAACTTTTATGCACTAAAAATCATTAAATATGCATTTAAAAAGATATCTTTACAAAAAAAGATTTTTGCATCAAAAAGTTAAAAATTTACCCTAAAGAAACAAAACCCATTATGCTCAATATGCCCGTATTGTACTAAAATATTACGTTTTTCTTTAAATATTTCACTTATTTGAATTAATTTGAATTATTTTATTAATTTTTTTATGTACTTATTTATGTATAAAAAACAATAATTTATCCAATATAGATTTAATCCAATCTACCCATTGGCCATTAAGATAAAAATTAGTCTCTATCGTCTTTATGACAAATTCGTATTTTAATATAATTGTAGACCTTTGTTCATACATTTATTTACTAGAAGTGCTTAATTTTCGATAAACTATCAAAATATGTACTAAAACTTAAAATATATACTTTTATAGTAAAAAATATATCATTTACCTATACCTGAAAATCTCAAAATATGCAATAAGAACTTTGAGTATTTGATTACAAGCGTTATGAAATTTATTGCGCGTATTTATTAAGTATACAATAAAATTAACCAGAAAAATTTGCAAATACATGAAATTCTTTCCTCGACTTGCTCTATTAATAATTTATTGGTTCAATTTTCAATGTTGGTAGGAGATATAACAACATACATTTAACTTACTAGTTCTGGTGTTTGAAGTACTTCACTGACAAATTTTGATGCATCAGCTAAAAAAGTTGATGGAATTTTGTGTTTTGGTACGTTAGTAACTATACTAAAAGTTGGCATGTTGTTGAATTTCTTATAGTAATTAAATACTTATAAAAAATTTTAACTTTAAACTAAAGTGGACGTTGTACGATAAATAAGTTGACAAACAGTGTAACTCCAGAACATTAACTGTAATTTATGAGATATTCTTATTATATTATAGTTATTCCGTACTTATCGTTTTAATCACCTGTTGGGTCATGAACTAAAAAAAATTATAAACTTATAAAAAAACTAATGACGCAATAAACATTTATGTCATAGTTTTCTAACATATAATACATTATTCATGCAATAGCTATTTAGACATAATTTTGATTCTTACAAATGTTATTACTTATTACTCACATCATGGTACTGCTATAAAAACACTAAAACATTGAAATAAAATCACAAACTTTGTGAATAGGAGATTTTTCAATTATTAATTAATAGTATTGTTTTAATTAAAACTAATTTGTGATATGCCAGAACAACAAAAAAATTAGTTACTTACGAACCTATATTTTATACATTCTAGAGATTTTTTACTTATAGGTATAAATATCTTAGTAACTGTAAATACATTATATATTACTGTTTTAATGTATTACTTGTTATTATAAATTTTTAATTAAAATTCTAAAAGCCAAATAAAATGTATAGAGGTAAAGTTATAGATAGTTGTATCGATTAATCCAAAATCAAAATAAAACTGGAGAATTCACTGCTGTAAAGTAGATGTAGAGTATGTCTTGTTATTACAAAGTAGGAAATATAGATATCTGTAATGAATGTGTTAAATTTGAACTTAAATAATTCAATGGTTAATCATTTTATCTATATGAAAATTGATGTTATAAATATTCAAGCTTTTTAACGAAAAATTATCAATATTTATAAAGCAATTTTATATCTTTAATATTGGTCGAAATATTTTACAATACTTAATTACGTATAGAAAATGACTTAAATTTTAAGTACCTAGTAGTGATATATTATTTTCTATTTTCACTTGATTTTCGAATTTCGTATTTTTGAACCCTTAAATTGTTCAGCATAGCAGTATTTTTCAGTTTTGAAGAAATTAATTGTTTAATTTCAAAATAACAAAATAACGTTTAATCTCTATTTGAAAATTTTATCATCAGTGGAATATAACAAAAATTTTTATTACCATGAATACCCCCAGCACTACATGAATACCCTCAGCACTACCATCTTATCAGCAATCCACATTTTCATCTTATCAGCCATCACCAATAAATGTTCCCAATTCTTATGAATTCACAGCACTACAGCAGTCATCATATTATTATTAAGACACAAGAAGGTATGAAGACATATTGGTGGATATTTCAATATTTGATTGAATTTAAGGGGTGGCTTAAAAACAGATTTTGTCAGTTAATTCTAAACTTGATTGTTTTGTTGTTTATTAAATCAGTACAAATTTTCTATACTAAAATTATTTAATAAATTAACTCACTTTGTTAATCCTGTCAGGGGCCGGATTTTTATTAAAGAGCAACAATTCAAGCAATTTCTAGTTACGTGGCGTAAGGAAAATTGATCATACCCCTTAGAGAGTAAGTACTCACTATTAAGTGTATGGGTAGTAATTTTATTGTTTTAGTCGTCATTTGTTTTTTATTTAACAGGAAAACATAAATCGAATTTTCAAATTAATTTTAATTGAAATTAAAACAATTAATTACAAAACATATGCTTGAAAATTTGTGTTACAGTGATACGTATACGTATAAAATATACATCTATTTTATTACAACTACTTAAATGAGAATTTTTAAAATCTGATTTCAATTTGACTTGCATATTTTTTGTCATTCAAATGGAAAAAAACTTTCAAATTTTTCCACGGTTTTCACTATTAATTATCGAGGAGTGAGTGTTTTTTTCTTTTAAAAACCAACCTGTAGATACTGAAGTAAATTTTTGTGTTAAAACCGCGTCGGCTTTGATACATATTATTTAGTACCTACTTAACTTATACTCAAGTATAAGCTGGAGTTTTTTTTTCAAAATATATTAATATATTACATTTAATTACAATACCATAATAATTAAATCAAAACATGTATTTACGTTTATTTTTAAATATTATTTATATCTGCGTCGTAACTCGTAAGATAATGTATTAATCGTAATATGTTAATCGATTTGAATGTCACGACATGCACTCGTGCAATTTTCAACCGAAACGAATATACCTACCTATTGAGAGTTTTAAAAGTTTCTACGATCGAATCGCGGGTAAAATCCAAAATTTTCTCTTTTACAACTCAAGAGCACATCGAACATTTTTATTTTCAAAATAACGAGTGACAGAACTACAGGAGTACAGCAGTTTGACGATCTCCATATCGGTCTCGGGCTTTTGGTCTCGGCAACGAGGATATTTCCGAGACGAAATTAAAAATTAGCAAAAGGAAGGGATAAATTCGAGAGCAGTTAGAATCAAGTCAAATTTGTAGCAAAAAAAGTAGGTAAGTGGGTACCACTCTACTGTACTTAGTGTCTAGTGGACCACTATTATGGGTTAGTTAAATTTGGATTCAACCGTCAACGAAAAACAATTCTGATCTGATATGGTCGTCAGCTTATATATTATTATATTATCAAAATTCATTTCACGGTATTTTTTTTGTTATTTTTACTAGAGTAATTTATTTTATTATTATTATTACTGTAGGCTTATTTATAGGTACTTTATTATGATGTCAGTTTATTTAATTCAAAATTATATCTTTCTGTAAATACCATAAAACAATGAAAACTAAAAATAAGTTCATAGTATAAATAGATAATATCTCAGAATAAATAAAAAATGTCATCATTGCGTATAAATTCATATTTCATGATAATATAATATCAGTATAGTATTTTCTTTTTTTTTCTAGCTATATAATTTATAGAAATATATTATATTATGATTTATTATTATAACATCGTCAACACCTATTTCTTTATCTTACGTAAATTCGCTTTGGCCTTCCTTATCATATGATGCCGCCTTGGCGGTTGTTTATGTTAGTGTTGCATAACAATATTACGCCATACTCTATGTCAAAAAATATAATTTAATCATCACCGTAACAAAACAATTAGACAGTCTATATTCACCTAAACAGTTAATAACTTTATCAATAGTAATCGCTAGATCTGATCTGTATTAAATCAATACTGATATGTAACATCTTCCGTCAGATAGTTGGACTCCGGCTCCGCCAACAAATAAAAGAAACTATTCTTCTTTTTTCCAAACAAAATAAGTTATTTTTTTTCAAAACAAATCGTTTTGAAGATTTATTTCAAGATGCACTAGAGCTTACGTCTTCATCAAATAATATTCGTCCTCGGGATTCTCTTAATAAAAATCTTGACGTGGCTATCAATGTCGGTATCAAATCAACTCTACCTCTACCAATATTTTTAAAAAGCGTTATTAACTATAATGTTTGTTTTATGATATCATGATTTGTTCAGTTGTCCCTAGCATTTAAAAACATTGTGTACTAATTTAAGTATGTGTCAAAAAACACCCAAATTCCAAAATTCAACCGTTCTAAAACACTACATACTATACATAATCTTTTCATTCGTCTCTGTCTTGTGGTATTTCTTACATCTCAATCGACTAAATACTTAGGTTTAATTATTGACCACCAGCTCATTTGGTCACATCATATCAAAATCAAAAGGCTTATCTTCAATGGGCTCCTCCGCTTATTTAAAACGATCAACAAAAAGTACACTAGTATATTATGAATCACTCTGTTTTTTTTTTTTTTAAGCCAATAAGGACTTATGGTCTTCAGAGTTCAGATCTGGAGAAATGCTAAAAAATCAAATACTGACAAAATTCAAACATTCCAAGGTTAGAAGAAAATAAAAAACTCCCATCTCATATCAACCTTCTTATATTTAACCTTGTCAGTTGCCACTCTCATAATTTCTAGAAATCCTTAAATAAGACTCAAAAAGATCTTGTGTCGTAATTTATTTACGGTTTATTATTAAAAATTTTAATTTAATAAAAACAATAAAATAGGTAACAAGTTAATGTAGTATTAGTAGTAGGTACATATTACTGTTGGAGACTCCTTCTACCATGCTCTCGTGTAAAAAATAAATTCTGTTATCACGTATTCTTATTGTTCCTTAAGGAACAGATTATACTTCTATAAAATAAATAAATAATAAAAAAAAAAATTATAGTTTCAGTATGAATCACTTATGAGAAATATTGTAATCAATTTTCAAAACTTCGATAACAAAAAAAATTTTTTTTATGAATTTCTTATAATTTTTCAAATTCTATCGAAATTTTAACTTAAATAGCTCATAAAAAAATACTACAACTATAGGCTATTATATTATTAGATGCGAAATGTATAACTTTCATGGAGCTTTGTATTAAATTTACAAGAATTTTATCAGTCTGGATCACTTTTCTTGATCAATTCCTATACGTATTTATAAATTGTGGGAGGAGGAGGTGAAAAATTCTTAATATTATTATATTTTTTAAAAATTGATTGATTGTATTTGTACATACTTTTGTATATTTATGTTAAATATTAACGAACTTTTATTTAAAAATAAAAGTAATAATGTATATATATATATATATATATATGAGTACTTACAGTTCAATATTTTTTTTTGTTTCGAATCCGAATTTTTTTTATCCAGCATATTACTTATGTACTGTTATACATTGTATAACATTCTATATTTTTATATTTAAAAATTACTAAAACTCAAAAAACAAAATATACTTATTAAAGTGATATAATTAATACATTTTAATATTATTTAAATCAAGAGAATACTTTAAAAATATCAGAGAATATTTATAGAACTAAACGATGATAATATTATGGAATCATTTTTTTAACATTTTCGATTACTTTATCGACGTCGATATTTTTTGCCATGGTATTTTTTCAATGTATGGAAGTAATAAATTGCCCATAGACATTCCTGTACTATAGTGATACAATAGGTTTAGTTTTAACATGTATACCTACCTATAGTACCTGCACTATTATAATCGAAACCGTTTAAGATGAGCGAAAATAATAACCAAATATAAATAAACACTACCTACATATAATATTATTTGTGCATTCCACGTTATATTACATTTAAAAAAAATGAATACAATGTTTAGAACTTTATATAGATACTTCTAAAAATAATTTCAACTAAATTATAATTGATTATTGTTTTACTAAGAAACAAATCATAATATTTATTTGAACATTTTTACTTATTTTTAAATATATTTTTTTGTTTAATATGTGATTTTATTATGTATTATTATTTATTATTATATATTAAGTACATATTATTATGTTTATTTAATATATTACTTGTACTGTAAATATTAGTCCGGGGCGAGATTTGTATGGACCAAGGCCCAGTTGGCCTAGGTCGTAGTTCCACCTATGGGTATATAAATATTAAGATGTTCAACCTTCTAAATTTTTAAAGAGCATATATATATTAGAATTTCAAACACTACTTACAATTTTTTCTTATACCCATTAAAAATGATCAAAAATACATAGTTACAATATTTTATTGTTTTAAGTATTAAAGTTTAATTTTTTATAAATTCATAAAATGACTAAAAAAAAAAATTATTATTTTATTGTTGAAATTAAAAAAAACTTGACTATAATTATATAAACGTTTGAATTTTGACAACATTTTCAATAATTCACCTGTTAAATTATGATTTTTCACCAAATTATTATTGTAATTTAAAAAGTATAATTCGTGGATAATTGAAACTTTTATATATATTATTATTATTTATATACATACATTATGGTATTTTCAGATTATTTAGATTCATTTTAAACTATAAAATATTTATACCACAAACCTATATTCACACAGTACCTAGTCAGTAATTCGATGCCGAATCAAAAGTTAATCAGAATATAGAATATTTAAAAATATATAGCAATACCTACCATTACAATAAAAACAATATTTTCGGCAAAACTTTATTTAACCGTTACAATGCGAATCGTAAAATAAATTATTTTAATACTTAAAAATATAAATACATCATAAAATATAAGTTGATAAGTGATAAGCCATCTTTGCTCAGAATAGTTTTTTTTTGTATGCAATTATTTTTATCATTGAATTTAAATTTAACACATACATTATTACAGTGATTTATTCAATAATAGCATAAGTACAATTAATTTCTACAACAGGAGTATGTGGGTATAGTAAAACGATTACCTCTTAATATACCTACATAATTTTACATCTATTTTTCATTATTCTGAATTGGAGTTACATTGAATCATTTTAAATCCTATTCAATTTACAGGTACCTATAGTGTTAAGACAGAATAAGACAATACTTATGTTAAATTATAAAATTATAAATTTCATACTTAAACAGTTACCAGTTATCTAATACATAAAATGTAAAGCAACAATATGTTTACAATGTAAAATTAATTATTACAGTACCTATTTTAATAATATCATATTAATCTATGTTTATTAGTTATTATTATTATTCTTTTTTTATACAACCAACCATTAAAAAAGTCAATTACAACTTCAAAAAGAAAATTTCTTATGTAATTTGTAATTTAATTTATTTAAGTAGGTATCTACTTATTTTGTTATTACATAATAGAGAACTGTACATGATTATCATTTTTATAAACTTTATTATCTAATTTTGAACTTAGTTTAAAATTGACCTGAAAAAAAAAATATTAATCTAAACTAAGATAAAAAACAATTTTTTTTTTTCTGAAAATATACACATAATCTTTATAAAATGTCATATGAATATATTATATAGGTACCTATTATTGTGTAATGTATTATGTAAAATTTAAATCATTAATTTGTATATAAATTTTAGTTAGGCTATATAACTAATTTGGTGGTTAAACTAGTCATTCCATTACAAATCAATAAGAGGACCAGAATATCAATCATATTATATACATAAGTACTAAAGTGTTAAACAGTTAATTTAAAAAAATGTCTGTTTTAAGAATTGATACAAATGTTTCACATGCAGTCTTAGAGGATGCATTTTTTGTGCAGACTACAGAAGCTCTTGCTAAAACTTTAAAAACTCCAAAATCTGTAAGTACCTATATCATTATTATTTTATTTTTTTTTTCATGAAACAAAATAAACAGTTTTAATTAAGTAGGTATCTGAAATTTAATTATTTAATAAAATAACACTTGGTACCTACATTCATTAATATAGTATATATGAAATGCTAAAATTTAATAATTATTTTTAGGATATTATAGTATTTGTTAATGGAGACCTACCCATTATTCTTGCTGGTTCTGAAGAACCAGCAGCAATTGTAACATTACTTAGTATAAATGGAATAAATGAAATTGATAACAAACTCCACTCAGCAGCATTGTTTCCATTGCTTACTAAATCTCTGAACATTAACGAAAATAGGTGAGTAAATTATAATATTAAAACACGTTGACGGACACTCGATCAATTTTACTGTTATAGCAGTAATTGTCTATTTGTGTCTATAATGGCATTTTAAAATATTACTGCTATAGCATTACTCTAAAAATCTTCTTAAAAGTAGCATTACTGTAATAGCAGTGATAATTCCAATGTTTTTTTTTTATGAAAGATGAAGTTATGTTAAATTAAGCATATTGCGCATTTGGGCACTGTCAAATTAAAGCAAATTTTTATAGAAAATTATTTCAATTTTTAAAGTGATGTTTTAAAGCATACCTGTAAAACAAAATGGTATTTCTGACTGTTCGTCAACATGTTAATTTTGTAAAAGTACCTAGTGTGTATGAGTGTTTCAGTAAAAATATAATTAAAAGACATTCAAATAACCTACCCTAACCTACTTACCTCTTGTATGTAGATGCGGAATTTTTATTAAAATACCTACCTAATTTAATTTTAAATACTAAGTTATAAGAATAATTTTATCATATAAGTATAAAATAAGTAATTATTTATTATTTATTCAATAATAATAATAATAATGTTTAAATTATACATTATACTTTAGGTATATTAAACACATAATTAAATATAATTAGAGAATTAAGTAAAAAAATGTATAAGTAAATTTATATAATCTTACATTTAAAGGGAAGACAAAGTATTATTAGAAATATTTTGCAAATAAATAAGTTTTAAATAATAACCTAATCATTTTAAATAAAAATTATTATTTATGATTTAACTAATAGGTATATAATATTTACTTATTTATTTATTTATATTTTAGAATTACAATTGGATTCAGTTCAATTGATCCACATTACATGGGAAACAATGGAAAAATGATGATTCAGTAAAATTTTATTATTTATTTTATATGAATTATTGTTTTAAAATGTCATTATTGGAAATAAGTATATGTTTATATTATATACATGATTAAAATTAAAATTTAATATAATAAAACTATATTCTTTCAATTTAAATTATTAGTTGATTATTTATTTTAATTAAGTATAATCTTATGGAAGTATTATTGTGTTAGTAATTACTTTAAATATTATCTGTAAAAGTTCATGTATGAATATAAGTTCTTTTAAAAATATGAATTTGTAAAGTATTTAATTTTTTTAATTAACAAGAATATAATAAAAAAAAAAATTTATCAAATAAAAATAAAATTATGGTAAAAATAGATGTATTGCATATAAGTAGGGTAAAATATTTAACTTAAAAAAAGAGTAAGTTTAATTTTTATAAATAATAACAATTGACTAAATATGGCAAAATGTTATCTATACGATCTCTACACTTTTTTTGAGTGTACTGTGTATATAAACTTAAATAAGAATTAATATGGGCAATTTTAATTTTATAAAAATTCTAGAACTGATTATTGAATTTGCAAATTTTTCACTTGGTACAGCTGCTTACAAATTAACATGAAATTATAGGTATTGTTTGTAACTACCCAAAAAATTATTTGTAAATCTTATTTTCTGAAAATTTCTCTATTTTATATATCCTTTTGTCATAGTTAAATCTAAATGGTGCATACCATTTCTTTTTATTTTTAAACATACTACTTATTAATCTAATGATACACCTAATTACTTTTTTTATAAGATAAGATAAAAAAATTATTAATTACTTTAATATTATGTATATCATAAAATATTTAGGTAAGTTATACAAACACCCAATCGTATAGGTCAGTGAGTGGAGTTTAAATAATTTCAACACAGTTTTGTTGAATATTCTAAGTGCTTATTTAATTTGGAATACTTCTAAAAGTCCAAATGACAGTAATTAACAACAGTTATGACTTATGTGGTAGATAGAGAGGTATTGACGTATTGTTATAAACTCTATGATACTGGGTCTGACAAATCCCTGTTGAATTGACGATCAGTTTTCCTAGCTGAGTATGCCTTAGTTATTATGCTATATTTGCCTATCATAATTTACACGAAATTAGATACTATATATTATGGTCGTCGGAAATGTCCCACATTATGCTAATATTGTTAAAATTGATTAACAACACATTTGTGCATGTGCCAGATGCATTTTCATGGTTATCCTGTGAATCGTTATGTTCTGATAAAAAGACACAATTTAGCTTATATTAATTAACGTGTATAATGATATAAAAAATATGATTATCATTTATCTTTGCACCTATTTTTAAGCTACAGACATCTGTTAAGGCCCTTTCATGTTAATAATCATGTGTGCTTACCATATTATGGTGTAATCAGAATTTTTTGCTCGGGCTTAGTTTTGAAACTAATGTGTTACTTATAAGTTTACAGCCAAACACCAATTGAATTTTATCAATATACCATTTAATTGATTTATTAGTTGTTACACACACATCTTTAGTAGACATTCTATATGTAAATGTGAGTTGGAAAACAAGGTATAAATCAAATTTTATACCTATATTGAGTTGGTATGTTTTTTTATTGATGCTGAAGACAGTAGTGCAATCAGAATTAAGTTTCAATGTTATAGTCATTCATAATTATCTAATAAATAGAGGTTGCTATATATACATTCTATAATATATAACAAATTATGGATTTTAAGTATTGGTATACCACTCAATAAGTTACCTGTTTACCTAGAAGGTAGGTATTTTCCTCAGTCTTCGAACCTTGGTGAACTCATTTACCGCTCTTTTCTACAGATGAAATATTTTCACTCTCAAGTCCTAGATGGCCGAGCCTTCATCCAACAAGAGGTCCAGAGGTTCTTTACTTGTTATAATTATTATTTAACTGAGAATATGAATGTTAAATGTTATCTTAGGTATCACTGATAAAAAAAAAAATCAAAATTATTATCTATTTTAAATACATACGTTGTAGCAGTAGTAATAAAATGCAACTAGACATAATTTATTGCAGTGACATCATGGTGATAATAGAAATTCACCTCAACTGCTGTTAAGTTTACAGACCTTAATTTTCTCCAGGTTTAAATAACTCGTAAGCCCAACATTTATGTTGTATTGTAGTAACGTCATCAAAGAACTACTATGTAAAAACTTTATTTTAATGGTTATGAGTAGGTTACAAGTGATTATAAATGATACTATATAATTTTATATTAGTTTTATTACATAAGTGTCATGGTAATTTATCTCAATATTTTTAATCCAAATATTAATAATTATTTCTTTGGAATTTAAATTGAATTGTATTTTTATATTTTTGCTTTCTCCTTTGACTAGTTACAATACTTATTTTGTCCAGAAAATAAAAAATGAGGAATGAAAACATTAAATTTATAATAAATAATGCTACATGAGTATATAGTAAAATGATATAATTTTTACTTATTTTATAAATACCTAAAAACATACAAGTGCTTTCATTTTTCATTTATAAATTAATACAGTACAATACAAAAATTCATAATTAGTAACAATTAATAATAATATTTAAATATAGATAGCTTCACTTAGAGAATTTTTGAAAATCTACACTTTTAATACTTTCTAGTGTAAATTCAAGTATAATAAGAAATATGTGAATGAAAAACATTAGAGATAGTATTTCTTAACATAAGAGGGATATATTAATCAAAATTATTAAAACTAAATAATTTAACAAATATTAAAAAATGTGATAATTAGTAATAATCAGGAATTGGTGCACAAGCAATTTTTACAAATTCATCATAGTTAACCTTGCCATTTGGATGGACATTGGCTTCTCGAAAGATTTGTTCAACTGAAAAATAAAAACATTTACTGATAATCAATTATTTTTCTCAATAAACTTGATTGAAAAAACAAGCTTTAGATATTTATATCATTTAGTTAATTTAATATAATGAATAACATACCTTCTTTGCTATTTAAATGTTCTCCCCAACCTTGTAATAGATGTTTAAGATGTTTACTATGAATAGTTCCAGTATGTTGACGATCGTTAGCTTTAAAAGCTGCTAAAATTTCATTAGGTAATTTTTCTACGCGACAATGATTGTGCATTACCTTTAAAAATTCTGGAAAATGTAATTTTCCATCTAAAAAAAATAATAATACCTGTGATTTAGTAAAACTGATATATTTTTTAAAACTACAGTAGGGTCTTGGTAATCTGAACAGGCTTGGAAATTGTCGCATCACTATACTAATACACTCGTGTATCATAATTCATAGTAATATGCAATACATGTACTTATTAACTTTTAATTATAATTTAAACATAATTGTAATGATTTTGTCGATTTTGATTGTATTTATTATGCTTTTCAACAACGAATTTTATGAAATAATACTGCATTATGAATAAAGATTATTTTCAAAATTTAAATTGCAAGAGAATTGATTTTTTTTTTAAGTAATAAGTAATCCGAACAAATTGTTAATCCAAATGATCCCTTTCCCCATTCTCGTTTGGATTAACGAGACCCTACTGTAGTTATAAGTTTTCAATGAGTTAGTAATAAATCAATTGAGATAATTAAACTCAATAAATAATATTTGAGATCAATTATAAAAATTATATATCCATGATAATTGATAATGATACATTAATTATTGGATAATATAGTATATATCGATGGTAAAAGGCCAAATATAATATTATGTCCCTAAAATACTAGTAAGTAGCAAGATAATAACAATTGATATTTGCAAAAACTAAAATGTCTATTTTAATTCCATTAAAAAATTACTTTAAAATAGATAGAAAATTTTAGTCAAGATAAGCTAGCAAATTAATATTCTACAGTAAATTAAACACCATATTAAGTTTACACTAAGTTAATTTAAAACTTGAATTTAAAAAATTGTAAAACTTTAAATGCCTCTCCTGAACATTTTAGTATTTGTGACATATCATATTTGGCCTTTTAGCCATCAATATAAACATGTAATTATATTATCAGTAGGATCTGGATTTGAACGTAAAATGTATTATCTTATGGAAGCTCCTGGACAATGCTTTTCAAGTACAAAAATTTGTTTCACACATAAGATAATTTAAAACTTATACTTTTATTTTGTATTTTTAATTGTTTTGGTGTTTTTAAAGCATTTTTAATAACTTTTAGAGTACATTTATAAATTATAAGAATAATTTGATAAAACTTGATTGGTAATTTAAAATGTTAGCTTAAGAAATTTTGTTTCTACAATTTGTCATTTATTGTTCATTCTCTTTATGATTATACTGATTATATCATTATTTAAAGTGATACTTGTAATTATCAGTTAAAATAGTTTAATGTAGAATTTAATATAAATTTAAATATGCGTAGAATTTAATACAATTAACATTAAATATCTACATGAATGTATTATGTATTTAATGCATTTATGATATTTGTTAACATATTATATTGTTTAAGTTTCTCCATAGATAAATAAAATAGTTTCAGGTAAAATTACTGTTTTTTGATTTAATTACCTAATTATACTTACTATTTTCTGAAAAGTATTTCTTTAATTCAGTTATAGTTGGACTCATTCCTAGTGATCGCATAATTATACTGAGTTCATCTAATTTATTTATAGTTCCTTCTCTAGCAAATAGAAAAAAACATTCTCTAAATTCTGAAAAAAAAAATATATATCAGAATGTAAAATTGAAAATGCATATTAGGTCAATACTTACAAGTATTTTTACAGTATATTCAATAAACTAACATCTTACCATCAATGTCTTCTTCCTTGAAATGATGAGCCATTATTGTATGTAATTTAAATAAAATACGACTGTTTTGCTGGTAAATCTTGTATTATGATTACTCCTTCGTCAACCTAAGATGTAATATTACTTAATAAATATTATTTTTATTGATATTTTAACCACGATAAATAAAAAATTTAATTTTTCATGGTTTTATCTACCTAATATATTAATGTAATTATTATAATATGCTAATATAGATAAAACGTTTATAATATAATATTTACAGAATAAAGTATGTATTAAATTGTACAATATATCTACAATTCTATAAAAACGTGAAACACAAATTTTAAACAATTTATAATCATAAATTGATAGTATTTAATATATTTTATAGTTTGTAGTGTTTGACGTTTGTAGTTTGTACTGTCAATAGTGACAATAATTATAGGATTAATGTTTAATGTTTATGACATGTCGAGTTGTCGTCGTCACTAATTTCGATATTATTATTTTTTTAATCTTTAGATAGCATATTGATACAATGATACTATATAGATAAAAACAAATTGGTAAAAAGCTTAAGGTATCCTTAACAGTACCAGAACAGGACCAGCGCATACTCCCTGGTGAATACAGGTAAGGTGTAAACAGTGTTGAATAATGAGGGGTACTCAGTCCTTTGTCTGTTTTTAATTTCCTGGTCATTGTCCATTTTATTCTGTCGTTGATAAAAACACAACATAGTAAATTCCATTTAATTTGTGTTGTGATTATACCTTATACTGTTTTACTGTCACTTTTATTAATAATACGTATCTATGTGTACGGCTGTCGTTTCAAGTACCTACTACGTCTACACTACCCAAACCTATTACACACAACAGTGAAGAGACGGTGTGACAGCTGTTCGCGAGGATAGGTTTACTGCTATTTTTATCAATTGGTGAAAAAAAACTTCAACGTAGAAGTGAAATCGACTAAGGGACAACGCAAAAGTCCGTTTCGATCAGCAGACGTCGACCAAAGCGACCCCCGACGGCCGACGTCCGCTTTTGCGCGTTGCACGACTGAGAACAAAATCCTATTTAGTGCTGCTGTTGTCGTCGTTGTTGTCGTAATCGTTTGGTGTGAACCAAAGAAGCTCACCTGCTTACGCCGTCCTCTCAAATTGTAAGTATTTTGCATTTGTTTTGTAACTGTCTTAATGTATCAAATATTTTTCACGCGAATTTTCCGTATGTTTTGTCACGTCCTAATCACCTTTTCAACGACCACTACCTATTGATGAGTTGGGTATATAATATACACCCTAGCTAGTTGCAGCCCCCAGTCAATCAATTATTTTTTACTCATAGTGGCCCTTGAGTTTTCTTTAATTTTATGCCTCCCCTCTCTTCAACTGATTAAAGTGGTTAAATAATCTAAATATAATTAAACATAGGTTCATCAATTTTTAATTTTCCTGTCTATAAGTAAAACAATGACAAAAATTGCTGCATTTGCTATGCTAGTATAAAGACTTAAGATTGAGGGTTGCCTTAAATGTGTAGGTCAGTATTGTTTTTGTTTTTATGCTTTAAGTTAATAAAACAAAAACGTCAGAACACATGTTCATTTCTATATTGTTGTAATTTTCAAATTTATAACTTCAAAATTATGACAATGAGTTTGCATATTCATTGTCTGCAATTTTTTAATAATGTTTGAAATCAAAGATGAAGGTACTTATATACTCATATTCAATTTATACTTATGTAAGTATAATAAAACTGATTATGATTTATGTTAAACATGATATTTTAGGTAATTGCTTAAATTTAATTTTTGCATTAAATCTGTATAATTTTGAGCTTTTATTGAATTATTTTTAAAATAATGTTTTATGTAGGTATCTATAATATATTATGAATTAATATGTTCATCATACTTTTATTTATACAAGTATAGTTAAATTTAATTTAGGTATTTGTATACATTTAATTTTTTTTTATTTCTACCTTTCTAGATTTTTTTAGTTCTGATTTAATTAATCTACATTTTCATTGTAGGTATATAATCATAATTTCAAAAAAAATCTGCTTGTTTTAAGAAAAAATTATAATTTGAAATAAATAATGATGTTAAACCCTTGATATTAAACTTTTTTGAGGTTAAGAGTAAATTTACCAATGGACTAGTTATTTCCATGCAAACATATTTAAAATCACTACCCTTAAAAGACTCCCAACACATGTGATAATATGAGCTACTGCAATATGGATGCTATGTATAACTGTTAGCAATAACTATAATCTACAAAAGTGCCTTTGGACAATTGGGTTTGATAATATTCAATGGCTTAGTTTTCATGTAACTTCCTTGTTATTCAAGGTTAAAGACATTCATGCTATAAAGTAAATGACTAAATCAATTCCTAAAAAGGTATATAAATATAAGTAATAATATATTGTCCGATGATCATCTATTAAGTACTTATCTATAACTATTATTTTTTGATAAATAGGTAAATACTTTTTTAAAATAAAATTTTTTTATTTTAAATTTTAAAATTGTTAGGTAGGTTTAGTGTTATTTAATAAATTATATGTAATACAATTTATTACCAATAGGTATTGAAGATATGCAGTAACAATAAATTATTTTTATTTTAAAGTTGATTAATAGGTATCCCAATTGTCAAAAATAAAAATGTTTCATTTAGGTAATTTATTATAATTTTTTATTAATTGTATCTTAGGTATTAAAAAATATACTAGATCATTTTAAATTTATTATTTTGTAATAATTGAATATAATTTTTGTTCTTGCTTATAGGATACTAATTAAATATATCTAAATGTATATATAATTTCTTTTATTATATGCATACAGAGTGAGTCATATTAGCCAATTAAACATTAGCTCATACAGAAAAACACCTCAACCCACACTATATGGTTGTATGTTATATGTATATTACCATTGGCACAACTACAGCTTAAAAATTATTTTTATTATGCATTACCCTGAGTAAATTATTTAATGAAATATTACTGCTCTATAACATTTACCACTAATATTTTTAATTATTTCAAATATTTATTTTAATTTTAACTCATTTTATTTACCACATGTGATATAGATGAAGATGTATATATTTTGTTAATTTTAGAATTAATAGTAAAGAAATTCAAGAAAAATATAAATAAAATAGATTTTTTTGAACAAATTTCGCTTATAGCTTAGCTGTATTTCTCAGTCTATCTGTCTATCCTTAATCAGTTTTTCTAGGTTTAGACCAACTATCAGAGACATTTTAGATTTTTATAATTATTTCCTTATAAAATGTGGAACATTTAGCCTAATTTATTATTTTAAATTATATTATATAGGAAATCAATAAAATTAATTTATATGAAGAGTAATTAAAAAATAAATACAAATTAAGATACATAACTTTTATGGTTACATCTCCAAGGTATTGTTCATATCATTAATTTCTAGTTTTAATTTTAATTTTAAAATTAAATAAATCACATTTGACTTCATGAACAAAGCTTCTTCATGTATAATCTCTGTGAAAGGTTGATAATACAGTAGAACCTCGCTATCTCTAATTTCGGTATCTCAAAGTTTCTGTATGTGGAATTTTTTTTCAGTCCCAATTATTCAGTATTGGACTTACGTGTTAAGTTATTATTGAGGTTATTATAGTATATCAAATTCCATATGTCAAATTTTTCTTTAAGTCAAATCCATTATTTGGTATCCACCGCCTATTACGATTCACTAACCTGAATATATAACAGATTAGATAAAGTATAAAATATAAGATAAATGACAGAATTCTACTTTCATAAAAAATAATGTATTCTTACCCAAATGACGAATACTAATAATATGTATATAATATATTCTATATTATACATTACTATATTTATACATTTTATATTATAAATACATATATTTTCTAGTAATTAAACGTTTTTATTTTTGTTTTGAATTCCCTCAGTAACTCGAAGTTTTAGTATGTCAAATTTGTTTTTGTTCTTTTGTGATTTTGAGATACCGAGGTTTCACTGTATTAAATTTATTATTACTCTCAAAGTGAAACCACTGAAATACTAATTCATTTGACAAAAATTTGTTAGAGATGCTCATCATTGACATAGGAACTTATTTTTTAGAAATTAATACCATATATTATTTATGATATAAACATATCTACCATAACTGTTTGTTCACATTGTATATTATCTACAATCTCTATTCTGTAATGATGGTATTATCTGTAAAAATTGTGTATTTAACATCAAAAAAATGATTTTAACATGTTTAAAAAATTTATTATAAAGATTTTTGAAGGTAATAAATGAATGTCATCACTTTTCCGTTTGTTACGACTAGTTCAATAGGTTGGTGACAACATCTGTTTTCGTACTGTATTTAACTTAGACATTTTTCCTTGCATACCAAGTTTCAATTCCATTTGTTTTTGGATTAATAAAGTGTATACTTTATTCAGTAAAAGAATGCGCCGTGGCTCAACAAAAATTAGTTCTTTTGCACATTTTTACTTAACCATCAGCCATTAAGTCTAGTTAAATTATGGTAGGATGTTGCTTAAAAACCTACAGAATTCGCAATTTTTATTTCTGGACATAGCATAACTGATTATTACAATAACAAGCACATAACCATTATGACTTAAGTTGCTAAAGGTCTTCCATTCACCCGGGTGAATTGTGAATTCCAATAATTTTTTATAGTTTTAATGGCAAGTGATGTAGTTCTTTTTTCTAATTTTCTACTATACAAAAACTATTTTCACCTCATTATTATAAATTCATTATTTCAGTCTATGTCGACATCACCTAAGACATAGATAACAAATAACTTATGTAGATAATAATATATGACTCAAGTAGCGACATGATATTAAAAACTTGTATTTTTATTATACATATTATAGAATTTTTTGATTTAATTTTGTAAATTTATCTATCTAGTACCTAATATTTAAGTACCTAACTGTTACTTTGAAAGGTAGAAGTACTAAACAATTAAATATTAATAGTAGTTTTTCGATGGAAACTTAAATTGAATTTACTCATAGTTATTGTTAAAGGTTCAGTAATTTATTAATGTATAAAATAGTGTATTGTAAACAGGGTGGTAATACATATTTATAATCCTGAATGCATTAATACATTCATACAATGAGCAATTTAATATTTCCTTAATAATAGCATGGAAATTAAATACATTTGTTTTTGTGTATTAATCACTTATTATTGATTTAAATTATTTTATTGTATTAATATCTAGCGTCTATCTACATTTTCAATAAAATATATTCATACTTAATTTTTGATTTTGTTTTAGGTAACTCCATGATATAATGAGTGATTTAGATACTCCAATGGATGTGGATGAAAGTCATGATTCCAAAACACTTGATAAAAATGTTGACATTGTTAGTGAATGGTCCAAAAAATTTGAGAACAATACCTTAACTGAATCTGACTTTCGTAGCTATTGGAAAACTTGGGTACCAATTATTTTAAAACCAGAAGTCCAAGGAAATTCTCTAGATTGGTCATTTAATGAACGAAAGGCAGAACAAGTTTTACTCAATACACTTGAAGAATTTATTTGTAATGGAAATAGTACTGAAGTATTACGTGGTCTAACGCAACAGAACTTCCCACCTTCAGTATGTGGTCGAGTATTCAAAATGGGCGAGCCAACATATAATTGTCGAGAATGTGGAATGGATAGTACATGTGTATTATGTGTAGATTGTTTTAAAAGATCTCCTCATAAAAACCATAAATATAAAATGGGAACATCTTATGGGGGTGGTTGTTGTGACTGTGGCGATGTAGAAGCTTGGAAACAAGATCCTTACTGTCAAACTCATAAGCTTGGTTTAGAGAAAAAACATGTTAACTTAAACTTGTTAACAAGTGATATGGAGAAACGAGCTCATTTAATTTTTGAAATTGTTCTTGGTTATGCTCGTATATTACTTACTTTAGAACACCCTCCTATGTTACCTGCTGAATTGGATTCTGATGAGATGTTAGATGATTTATATAGTATTTATAATAATCAAGAAGACCGTTTTTGTACAGTTCTTTATAATGATGAGACACATACATTTGATCAAGTTATAACAACTCTTACTAGATTCATTAAATGCCCACAACGAGAATCCATTGATTATGTAACATCTATTGATCGAGAAGGTAGAGCAGTTGTTAAATGTGCTGGTTTTGTGCAATGTAAAGACCTAAAAGAAGAAATCGAAAAATTTACATCACGTCATGGGGGTAAACCTTTGAAAACAGTTGTAGTTCATTCTCATGTTATTGCCCATCAAATATATGCACTTAGATTGTTGACATGGATGCAGAATTTACTAGGTTATTCAGAACGTTTAAGAGCAGTATTTTCAAGTGTTGTACTTGCATCTACACCATCAGAAGGTTGTATTATAGAAAGCATATTACGAAAAGATACTGTTTTATGGAAATCAGCAAGACTACACTGGCATAAACTTTTTATTGCTGGTATGTTTATAGAATATGAGAATAAAAAAGAATTTGCTAAGGTGTTTACCAAAAATTACGGTGCAATTATGAAGGACTTCATTAATGATGATCATGATTATTCATATTCTGTTGCTTCATTGGGTGTACAAATATTTACTGTACCTACTTTAGCTAATTATTTAATGGCACATCATGACGTTCTATATCAGCTTTTAAATACATTTTTATCAGAGTGTTCACATAAAGTAAATAAACAAGGCAAGTTAGAATTTGAACGAAATACATCAACTTTGCCGTTCAAAAGAGCACAGCATGTTCTTGGAGATATTCGTTATCTTTTAGGTTGTGTACCTGATACATGGAATCCTGAATTAAGAGTATCGTTTTGTCATGCAGTTTCATTGGTCCTTAAGATACTTAATTATATGCAAAATATGGATACCGTTACTAGGCAAGTAGGTCAACATATGGAGTATGAACCAGAATGGGAAACAGCATTCAACTTGCATATTAAATTGAGGCCATTAATAACCAAAATTCTATTATGGTGTGGATCAGATAGTATCGTTTTAAAAAAAGTGTACAGGATGACTTTAAAAAAAATTTGGGAGAATCCAATTTTAGATCCTCAAAGAGAAACTGTAGTTAAAGAATTGATTGATTATAAAGTTACTTGTATTGATTATGATGTATCAACTGAAGCTGTATCTATACATCTTCCACTTTCTAGATTTCTTGCTGGATTACATTTATGTCTAGACCGTTATGGTCTAAGTTTTGATCATTCTGAGTTACAGACTACAAGACAGTCTCCTGAGCAGATTATTGAACCAGTTCTTCGTGCTCTCGTTTTAATATCACAAGTGCATGCAGGAATGTGGAGACGCAATGGATATTCACTTTTAAACCAAATTTATTTGTATCATAATTCTAAATGTCGTGTGGAAATGTTAGATAAGGATATTGTTATACTTCAAATGGGTGCATCCTTAATTGATAGTAATGAATTTTTAATTCATGTGTTAAACAAGTTTAATTTATTAAAATGGGCACAACCCAATTACGAACTTAACCTATTAAATGGATCAGAAGATGAATCTATACGCCAAACAATTAGTTTGGTCGAAGAATTTTTAACTCTTATAATCACTATAGTTGGTGAAAGATATACACCTGGTGTTGGAAAAGTGACCTTTGATGATTGTATAAAAAAAGAAGTAATACAACAGTTATGTGTGGAACCTATGCCTCATTCAGAATTAAATAAAACACTCTTAAACCTTATTGAAGATGAAGAATGTTTAGAAAAAGTTATACATGACGTTGCTGATTTTAAAAAAACTAGAGGTAGAGGTGTTTATGAATTAAAGCCAATTTTTTATGATGACTATAATGTATTTTTCTATCATTATTCACGAGAAGAAATGTCTAAATCTGAAGAAGAACAAAGAAAACGGAGAAAAGCAGCAGGGGAATTAGAGTGTTGTCCTCCACCCAAATTACCATTATTCAGTGATGCTTTTGCAAAGATTGCCAATTTATTGCAATGTGATATTATGTTTTATATTATGAGATTGATATTAGATAGAACCGTAAATTTAAGAAGTAGAAGTTTTTCTGAATCTCAACTTCATAAAGTTCTTCATCTTATTGGTTATGCTCTTCATGAAGAAGAAAATCAAAAAAGTCCATCATTTACATTTACAGAACGTTCTGAATCTTATGGTATAGAAGTTGCATTAGATGAGCTTAGGCGTAGCCCTAGAGTTGAAGCTTATAAAGACTTGGCTATATGGACACTAAATAAGTTTAAACAAGTATCTGCACCAAGAAGAAAGTGTGATAAAACTGAATCAGTAGAAAAAGAAGTTGAAAACATGGAAGGTGTGAAAAGTGTAGATGTAGAATTAGAAAAACAAAAAAGAGCTAAATTAGCAGCTGATAGAAGAGCTACTGTTATGGCTCAGATTGCACAAATGCAGAACAATTTTATGAAAGATAACGCTACATTGTTTGATAATACACCTACTTATTCAGAATCAATTAGTATGGATATCCTAGAAAATACTAGTGAACCTTCTGTTGCTCTAGGTCCACATCAAACTAAATCTAGTACTTTTGATAATAGATATACATGTATTTTGTGTCAAGAAGAACAATTGGTGACCCATGATAGCCAAGCAATGGTTTTAGCTACATTTGTACAAAAATCGACTGTTCTTTGTCAAGCAAGAAATAATTCAGAAAATTTTGCTGATAACTCTTCTGACCCGTATTATATACCATTAAATTTTGGTCCTTCTCCTTATATTTCCACCTGTGGACATGTTATGCATGTTTCTTGTTGGCAAAGACATTTTGATATGATTCTAGCCAAAGAGAACAGAAGACCTTATCGATTAAGACATTCTTTGAGTTTTGACGTGCATAAAAATGAGTATCTCTGTCCACTTTGTGAAGGACTTTGTAATACTGTCTTACCATTGTTACCACCAATTTCAAGTTTTACCGAGCCAGAGAACATGAAAACTTTTGAAAATTTAACATTTGAAAATTGGTTAGAAGGATTAAATATGGCGCTTAAACAAAGTAAAGTTGTCAAGCCAAAAACTCCTGAAGTATCTCAATCACAACCATCTGTTGCTCAACAATCAACAAGTCCAGAACCTGAAAGACGTCGTCCTACTCGGAGAGATGTTTCATTACAATTACAGCCTGCTAATAATTTAGCTCAGGTGATTGTTGTACGAGATAATATTGAAATACCTCATGATGAAGATGAAGACGAAGAAGAAGTTTTGCCACCGTCAAACCAATTCTCCATAGGAACTAATGATTTTATTATGCAAATACTGATGTTTGACAAATCGTCCCCAAAAGCTGTACCTAAAGTATCGGTATATAAAAACAGTGAACTTTCAACTAGCTTAGTTGATACTATATTAAAATTTGCTCATACTACTTATTCAAAAGCCACTGGTATCACTAATCCACATCCTGATAACAATCAAATCCCATTAATGACATGGAAAGCATGTGCATACACTATACATTCAAATGAAGTGATTCTTCGCTATAAAAACAAACCATTACTTGGTGAATTCTCTTCTCGACAAAAAGATTGTCTAGAAGCATTGGTTCGGGTTTCAGGAATTCTCAGTTCAACTTGGAAAAAAGAACATGAAATCAATTTACATGCTCTTCGCCTTTTATCCTTGGCCGTTGATAATGGTGGAAATAATTCAATCGGAATACTCGATTGGGATGCTTTTGGAATGTTAGTTTCATTGACTATGACTCTTCCTAGCTTGTACTATACTGAAGTGCCTGGCCCAGCACCTAGAGGAACTATGCTAGATTTCCATACACTACTTTTAATGTTCATTTCAAATTTAGTACAAATTATATTAACCATGAATATCTATGTGGAAGAAGTTGATGTGCTTCCTCAACTGGCGGAATGTGACGATGAAGACACGTATTGTTTAGCTAAATTAGTTGAAAAGCTTCGTGGTATTAAAATTGAGAACACAGAATGTGTTTGGAATGAAATAAAATGTCGTTCTATACCGTTTTTGCGAAGTTGTTGTTTGTTTTACCATTTCCTAACTGGTGTTCCAGCATCATCGGGTTCCTTATTAAATGGCATTGGAGTTGATTACCCTAGTTTGTGTGCTTATTTGGGATTACCTATTACGTGTAAAGAAATATTAGACAAACCATATGTTGAAGCATTGATAGATAAATGGTGTGAAAATGATAAGGTAATAAGAATAAAACAAGGTGAAAAATTGCAGTTTAGAGATTGGTTGCATATCAATCGATTAGTACATCTACCAGATGATTATAGTGAATTGATCAACACAGTATCAATGTTTACCTGTCCAAATAGTGATCATGAAGATTCGAGAAATCCAACTATGTGTTTGGTGTGTGGAGCAATGCTATGTTCTCAAAGTTACTGTTGTCAAACTGAAGTCAAACGTGTTGCTGTAAGTTATTAATTATTTATTCATCCAATAATTCGCCTTCATTTCAATTTATTAAGGTCTATATAATTTATTTATTGATATTTTACTTGATAGATTTAATATTATAATTACTCTCTTCATATTATGTTGTGTTACTTTTATAAATTATCTATTATTTTTCATTATGCTTTATTCAACTAACATTGTTTATTATTATACTAATAAAGTCTTTATTAATAGAGCAATAATTAAAGCATAATTTAAATTATATGCCTTTTCATATTTATTTTCTTTATACTGTAAAAATATTTTTTTTTTATGTAAATCTAAACTTTTAATTTTAATAACTATTGAAAATTTAAAAATTTAGCACTGTAATATTTTGTCACAAATGTGCGTCCTTCAAATATTAGTAGAAAACAAATTATAGGTCACTAACACTCTTATTTTTCATATTTTATTTTTGTTAGGTATTCTATTTTATTTTATCTATCATAATTCATAATCATCACTTATATGCCATAAGTGTACTTATAATAAACTGCATAGTATTTAACAGTAATACCTACCTGTATTTATTATAATACATTATGTCAATAAAATTATGTAATTAAGATATTTTTCAATGCACAAAAAATTAAAATAATATAAATATTTAATGCAAATAAATGGCTTATTTCTTAATTATGTCTACACTTTTTGAAATTATAGTTGTATAATTAATAAAATGATTGTTTTTTTTTTTTTTTAGGTTGGAGCATGTTCTGGCCATGCTTACACATGTGGTTGTGGAGTTGGAGTTTTCTTACGTGTACGCGAGTGTGAAGTTTTATTGTTAGCCACTTTAAATAAAGGAAGCTTTATAATGCCACCATATTTGGATGAATATGGTGAAACTGATCAAGGCCTAAAACGTGGGAACCCATTGTACCTTTGTAAAGAACTGTATCAAAGATTAGAATTACTTTGGCTGAGTCATGGGTTACATGAAGAAATATCTAGGTATTTAGACTCAACACAAAATCTAATACCTATCACTTGGCAACACATGTAAATTTATAAATGTTATTCTACCCTTACCTGTCTGATTGTGACTATGTTAATATACTCTATCATAAATAATTATTGTTTTAATAAAAATTTTTTTCTAACACTGCAAGTGATAGGACTGTGTATGTATATAATATAAGATATGTAGCATTATATACATATACTATTAGTCATAATAATTATATTGTATTGCAAATATTATACATATACCTATATTATTATATTGATATTTAATATGTGAAAGCTATTTACACTTAAAGTTAAATAATTAAATTATAAAAACCATAATATATTTTATTATAATTCAATTATTTTTAAGTTGCTTTAGTGTTGCTCTATAAATTTTAATGGTTACCACAATTGTAATCAGTAATTAGATGATTTGTAATTAGGTTGTTTGTTCTATTTTAAAATAACAGAAATCAATAATTTTTAATGTTTTATATTATAGCTTAACATTTAATAGATTAATTATTTTAACTAACTATCTTGAATGAATTACATTTTCTGTACAAAATATATTTTTAGATATTAATAAAACAAATTAATTTATGACGTTATGTTGTATACACTCTATCAATTCAATACTTACCAAATTGTATTCTGGCGTTCTTCATTTGTATTTTTAATTTGTTTTTATGCAATAGTAAAATTAGGTAATCATTTACAATTTCTTTATTTATACTTCATTCATATTAAGAAGGAACTTGTGACCAGTTTTCATCAGGCAGAAGTCAATCAACATTTATTTGTCTCCTCCCAACTAAGTCAAATATCTATATGCTTGCTGTATAATAAAGCTATGTCTCTGCACATAAGCCGGCATCTGAAGTTCCTATTAAATATGAATGAAATATAATGATATCCTGTATTTATTATTATTAAGTTATATTGATAACTTATTTAACTAGTCAACTATCGATGATAGTTGATTGTATCATTAAAATAATGTTTGTTATAATTATAAAATATTTTAATAGATTATAAATATTAGATCCTATCTTTATTGTAAAACAATTAATGTCAATGTAATTATTAAAAGCTTTTAATTTATAAGTAATTGTATATTTACAATTGATGAGTGATAGAATATCATATGTGATAGCTTGTACGTTGATATATTACTAACAATCAAATATTTTTAGAACGTTATAATTGATTAAAAAATTGATAAATAATTTAAAATTTTTTAGTTATTTCCTATAGATTTTAAAGTTCTTCCAAATTTTTCTTAATATAGATTTTACAGCAATAAAAATGTGTAACTAAAAATCATTTTTAAGTTACTACTATTATGATTAAAACTATAAAACCTAATATAATTTTTTAAATGTTGTAAATAATATAAACTATTAAAATAGAAATTCTCCAATTGTAAATATCATATAAACTATAAAAGGTATAAACTGGTTAATTTAACTTTTGGAAGACGAGGAAACATATACTATATATTTGTAATATGTATGTACAGTATTGTCCAATATAAGGGTATTATAAAAATTATAAAAAGTATTGAAGCATCTTGTGTCTTTGCATTGAAAATATGATATTTAGTTTGTAAAAAAAAAAATGATTTAAAATTTGTCGCTTAAAATGTTAAATTAAGTAATTAAATACTATTTTTTTAGCATTTATTGATCATTTCGTTTGGTTTAATAATCCAATATAACTTAAATATTTAACAATAATATTGTAGTAATTTTACTTTTTTTCTAGCTTATAGACATTTTTTACCTACAGTTCATTTGTTTTTCAAATATTTTTTTCTTTTTGGACACCTAAAATTACATAATATATAAGCAGTTCTCAAAAATGTATGATCATAATATCCTCAGAAAATAATTTGTGTTCATGGACTCTAATATATCCAATTCAACCAACATTTTTCAATTATTTATTAAAAAAAATTACAAAAGTATTTTCTTTGATCATAGTTTATTTTTAAGTTGTATGTATATATAAGTGTCAACTGTAAAAAATAATACCAGTTATTTAACCATTAGCAGAATAACATTATATTTGACCCCTTCTCTCTAAAACAAAAATAACAATGTTTAATCAAAATTGAATTTTTTTAAATAACAAATATTTACTATTTTATTTTATTATGAAATATATTTATTTTTAACAAATAAAAATTTGTAAGATCTTGTGTATATTTACTTTTAATATTTCTAACATGAATAATGGAACTGTTTCATGATTTAACTTATGAATTATGATACCTAGTTTTAAAATTTGTTTTTTATACTTGAAAGTTGAATTCATAAGTCAGGAGTGGTTTCCAATCTATTTATGTACTTACTTATTTTTAAAAAAAAGTATTAAAGGAAACACCAGTCATACAATGGTAGCTAATTTTTCACAAAATTAAGGAGGTTTTTTTTACTGTTGGTGGATATTTGTTCCAAAGTTCAATCCAAAATTGATTTCAATACTTACATTTAAAAACCTGGATTCAAATTTAAAGAGATATTAACTAACAAAAAGTAATTTCCTACACTGAGTTCTTATTAGACTAACTAGAGTTTTATAAATTTAAATTATTTAAATTTAGTTAAACAACTATTTTATAACCACAGCATACTAGTTTAAAGATGAACATTTTTTTCTATATAAAATAATTTAACTAATTAATAATAACAACATTATTTTAATATTCTCATATATTTTATGAGAATGAAATTCTTGAAATTTAAATACTTTGGACACTGTTGCACCGCGTATGATTAAGATGTAAAAGATACTTAATGGTATTTGAAAAAAAAAGGAAGATAAATAGATTACAATAATAATTGCTGTAGGTACAGAAAGTGTTGGTATACCTTGTTATCGAGAAGTCACTGTAATATATATATTTATATATATATATGCCGTAAAACGGGGTGAATAGAAACAAAATCAGGAAAGTTATTATTTTGACATCTCCCCGACTGAATATTTGTGTTATCAATATGAAACCTTCACTAAATCGAATATACATTAGTACGAAATTCGATGATCTCTAAACATTCCGTTTATTTCTACCGCCATGCGGATAAAAATTGATGAGCAACAACTGATAATAATCCTAATAAATTATTACGAAAATCAATGGTTCTTGTTATCAGGTAAATATTATAAACATTTTCATTTTTCTTGTTACGATCATTTTGAAATATTGTTAGGTTTTATAAATTGTAAGTATTATTTAACAAATTTAATTAGTCATTTCAATATATAGGTTTTACTGACTTTTGTTATTTTAGGGGTGAATAGAAACACAGTTGTGATGGCACGTATATTTATAGCAAATATATTTTATCTTATATTAATAATTCAAATTATATGTATTAAATTGGCCAAATTATAATAATAAAAAAAAAATAAAACAATTTTTCTTGGAACTTTTTTAAGAAGCAAAACAACAAGGGAGTACAAAGGTATGGTGTATGGCTTTCCAGTGGTCCGTGATGTATGTGAGTTTAACACTTCTCAAGTAGTAGGAAAACTAGAAAAACCTATTCCTTACGGTAGAGGTTTATTGAAATTTAATTATGATTGTAAATAAAACTCCTAGTCAAAAATATTACCTGTATAAATTAAGTCTGAATGCGGGAAAGACATCCTTAAGACTGAATTGAAAATATTTTAAAGACTGTACGTATTTTTAATGGTGGATAACATTTTTTATATTGTGTTTTAGTTTACCTACTAATTTGTTAAAATGTTTAGGTATTAAAGAAAAAAAAATGTTACATAATATGTAAAAAAAAAGTTATAAATTTCAATTAAAAAGTTTTAAATTGAAAATGTTGTTCTCTATATTTTTAAAAATCTATTTATTTATTTCTATTCATCCTTCAGTTGGTAAAATAGTAAAATACACCAAAAAAACCATATATATTTCTATAGACACCATCTTTCGGGGGGAATAGAAACAAAGCACTTAAAAAAATATATAAAATACTTTGTTTAACATAAAAACAATTGGAATATACACACTTAAAGTACTCAACAAGACCAATATTTTGATGTATTGATCATGTATAAAGCCTAAATAGAAAAATTGTTATGATATTTCAAAATTCAAAAGTGTTTCTGTTCACCCTGTTTTACGGTATATTAAATTTAAATTCAACAAAATACGGTTATATTTCATTTATTATTAAGTATATAAAAAAAAAAAAATAAATAAACAATTGCAGCTTAAAATGAATTTAATGTTTTGAAAATGTTATTGTATAGGTATATAAAATATAATAATACCTGTACATAAATGCTTAAGTGTTATTCTTTGTTTATATACTTACCTATCTGATCCAAATTTTTACAAAAAAATTGTTTAATTTTGACTTCTTAAGTATCAACTAGATTCATTTTCCTACCAGAAAATATATTGAAGTTTTAAATCTAAGTATTTTTGCTGCTTTAAAAGGTATAGATAAACTCAAAAATAAACACATCGTAAAACCAATAGATACCTAATTTTTAATCATTGCTCTGCTTAGTATTCAAAAATAATTTTAAATGAAATTTTAAATTATAAATTTTAAGATTAGTTCAACCACAATATTTCTAACCTATTATACCTTGGCAAGTACCTACTTAAAATATAAAAAAATACAATTTTAATACCTATTAAAAATATTTCTTATGACTTAATACATTATAATCTATTTGTTTAATGGTTAATTATGAAATACATATATACCACCTACCTATATTTAGTCAGATTATGCTTGTTTGGAATTTTCAATAAAAAATTTAAAATATATTTATTTTATACTATCTAATCAAAAGCGTAATCCCGGAGTGTGGGAAGGGGGGGAAATCAAAGTATCGTATGGTGCTCTCCCCCCATTTCTTACTTATTTTTGTCATAAATATTATTTGATAAAGTAATGAAAGCATAGTTATCACCATTACGCGATGATTCACCCCAAGATGTAACTATTTACTGATATTACCTACCTAATTATTATAATAATACATCTAGATAATACAAATTCTCTTTACACGCGATTAATGATAGATTATTAAAATTAACTAACATTTGCAGACAAATACAAGAAAATAAATTTATATTTTGTTTTAATGTGAAACGATAATAGTCAAAAGTGTAATAACTCCGGCCCCTTTAAAAAAAAACTGA